GGACTCAAGTTGCATTATTTCTGGCAGTCTGTAAAGGCCCTAACTGGCCACTGTGTGAACAGCATGATGGACTAGATAGTTCCTCAGTCTCATCTAGCATGACTCTTCTTATGATCTTGAATCAGCCTCAAAGATGAAGAATACAGTAATTAAAATTTCTGGGAGCCTCCAAAAGTACGCTTAAAAGTAATAGAATTTAAAAATGTAGCTTATGGAGAATTTATTTATTGGATTTATATCCTGCCTTTCTCTCAAAAGTAGTTTCAAGAAGGAAACACTTTGGGAATAGCAAGTCCCTCCTTCTGACCGAGGCAACAAGCAGCAAAAGCTGGCTTCACTTTGGGAGATGTTTCATACATCCTAACCAAAAACAAAATTTGTAAATCACTCAGAAAAAGTAAGGAAAAGGGCACCTGTATATTTCCTTGTTCATATAAATCCTCTACCAAGGCTCCTCAACAAGGGCTCCCTAGAACCTTAGGTTTCTGTAAGAGGTCAGCAGAATTTCTGTGAGAGATCGTGACTGATTTTTTTTAAAGCTATAGATATATTTATTGATTTTTACGCAGGAGTTTCCTGAGACCTGACAATTATTTCAGGGGTTCCTTTGGGGCAGGGGTAGGCAACCTTTCCCCTTTAAGGGCTGAGGGACTTCAGCTCCCAGAATCCCAGGAGCTATTGGCCAACATGGGACTATTGGCCAACATGGCTGAGGCTTCTGGGAGCTGAAGTCCCTCGGCCCTTAAAGGGGAAAGGTTGCCTACCCCTGCTTTGGGGTTTAAAGTTTGAGAAAAGCTGCTTTGTACCATTCAGACTTGTCCTGCAGCCATTTTGGTTGTTACTCGTGTTGTTAGGAATTTGTTCCAGTTACAAACTGCTTCTGTGTTTCTTGCTCAACCTATCACTATAAATATAGAACCAAAAATGAATTTTAAATGTTACTGAGACTAAGGGGTTACAAATAACGTATCAATGAGCAACACAGTCTTTTCAACCTGTTTTATGTACTTGGAGGATTGCTTCTTCACTGGAGATTTCTAAGCAGAGGTTGGATGGACACCTTCTAGGAATTCTTTACTATGGAGTCCTGCACTAGCATAGGCTGGATTAGATGACCCTTGGCATCCCTTCTAGCTCTATGACCCAAATCTGAACCGTCAATGTCCCAAACTCCTACTCATTCAAGGATGACTCTGAGTCACCACGCTGTAGTAGGTATTTTATTCAGATTTTTTTTCAACAACACAAAGTAACATTGGCTGCTACAAGCTCCCTTGCTCCATTCTGCTACTCCAGAAAGTAAGCCCACCCTTGGCTCAACAGGCCAACTAAAGAGCATAGATATCTCAATGGTTCTTGGGAGTAGGAGTCTACCTGGTATTGTTATTGCAAATAAATATCCAGTCAGGCCATCACAACATTTATCACAGTGCCTGAGGGCACAATCAGGGAAGAAGGAAAATTATTTCTCTCGTCCATTATCATTAAATTATCCTATATTATGAAGACTGTTACAAGCACAGTGTACTAGAAATTCTCTTCATGTATTGAGTATAGCTCACTCCCAAGTAAATGGGTGTAGGCTAGGCTGCATATAGGCTTTATAATTCCTTGGAGAGCTCAGCTACAATAGCTTAAAATTTTTGTGGTGTCTGATCACTCAGTACACTTTTGACTGATAATTCATGATGGGACTCAACTACATACCTTGGTGATCCAGTTTTGCCTGATCTCATCATGGGGAGCTGCCTATTGGGGGGCAGTGTGAATGTGCAACTGGCCCTACCATTAGGTTACAGCAAAGCACCCAGCTCAGGCAACAGGTTTTGGGTGTCAAGAAAGGGCAGCAAAGTGTTACTTAGCTTATTATTGTTTTACTTTTACTGCCAGGGAAAGACTGCCTGTGGGATTTTCTGCCTCAAATGTCAAAATAATTAGACTGGCCTTAGATACTGTGTACTGTGAATTGGTGGAAGGGGGAATTTGCTATTCTGCCTCAGGGGTAGCAAAATACGTGGGCTGGCCTTGACAACGTGTTGATAGCTAAACTTGTGGATTGCATCAACCACACATCAAAAGGAATCGTTGTGCTATATGGGACACAAAGAGCAGATCTGCCCTCTCCAAAATTAGATCTGATCAAATTACCTTCAGCTATTTTGTCAAAAGTGTATTAACATGAATGACAGAAACAACTGTCGGCCCTATAAGTCATCCATAAGGGAAGACTTCAACATGAAGAATTGGAGCTTCCCTACTGGATAGAGGAAAGCAGAGCTGTTCAATCTGTATAGCTGAGAAATCTTACATATTTGTTAGATGCTGATGTGGGGACTAAAAAGGAATGTTTCCTTCCCTCTTCGTTTATTGATTTATGATCTTTACTCTTTTATTAATCTTTTCCCTAAGTTTGCGACATTGCTTATTTACATTCGCTATCTAGGTATATGTGTTGTTCTTTAATATAGAACTCAGGCTGTAGTGATTCTCTGTTTGTTGGTGTCTCTTGTTTTCTGTCAAGGCAGAATGAGACCACGAGGCAGTTTTGGCCACAGTGGTACATCCCTTAATTTACTTCCCATTCAGACTACTGTATTACCTTGACATGGGGTTGTTTTTGAAAAGTGCTTAGAAGCTACAGCTAGTGCAAAATGTGGCACCCAGACTGTTTTTGGGTGCAGTCTTTAGGAACCATATAATGTTGGTCTTATGAGAACAGCACTTACTTCCGATTGGCTTCCAAATACAATTCAAGGGGCTGTTTTTGACCTTTGTTGTTGTTGCCTTCAAGTATGGTGATTCTAAGACAGAACTTATCATGGGGGGGGGGTGTCTTGACAATATTTGTTCATATATGCATTGGCCTTCACTGAGGCTGAGAGACTATGACTTGCCCAAGGCCACTCAGTGGGTTTCTCTGGCTAAGCAAGGATTTGAACCATGACTTCTCAGAGTCCTAGTCCAACACTCAAACCACTGTACCATGCAGCTCTCACTATACATCACTGCCTTTGACCTAAATACTCAAAATGTCTTGGGGCTAGGCTATCTGAAAGACTGCATCCACTCAAAGGCGCCTTCCCAAACTTGAGATTCCCTGTTGCATATCCCACTACTGCACGAGGATAGCTTGGTGGATACACTTGGCAGGCTTTCTCTGTGCAGCACCCCAACTATGGAACTCCCTCCCACAAGAAATCAGGCTTATTGCATCTCTTCTGAGTTTCCACTAAGGCTGCATCTGCACTGCAGAGATAATGCAGGTTGACATCACTTTAACTACCATGGCTCTATGCTATGGAATCCTGGGATGTGTAGTTTGTTGTGGTGCTAGAGCGCTCTGACATAGAAGGCTAAATATCTCACAAAAATACCAATCCCAGAATTCCCCAGCATTGAGCTACGACAGAGTGGTGTCAAACTGCATTATTTCTGCAAGGCAGTGCTGGTTCACATGGCCTTTGGTTCTTGAAATTACTCTGGCTGCTTTAGCTGTCTGAATCTGAATTATTTTAAGAAGTGTTTACTTTTTATTTCGTGTATTTTTTAAAAATTGCTTCTGTCTACTGTACATTGTACATTTTATTCATTGTATATTGCCCTGACAGGATGAAGGTGATACATAAATGTTTCACATATATAAATAAGTGAATAAATAAATAAATATTTGCCAGTATACTGGTCCCTCCACATTTGCTGCTTTGACTTTTGCAGATTTGATTATTCTAGGAATATCTAAGTCCTCCAGAATAACTCTATGGTCAACTTTAACCAAAAGTCGCACTGAAGGACCTAGAGATTCTTAGAGAGAACACTCCACTAGGCATTTGCAAATCTTCCAACACAATTCTATGGTCAATGTCTGGCAGATGTTGACAGCAGAGTTGCACTGGAAGACCTAGGACCTTATCACACGCTGCTCTCAAAAGTGGCAAGAAAGCGAT